AAGCAGCATCCACACTTCTCTGGAAGAACCAACCTGCCCACACCTTGACCTGGGACTTCAGCCCAGAACTGCCAGGAAACAAACGTCTGCTCTGAGCCCCAGGCCAGAGCGCTGGCACCAACCAAACTCCAGAATGCTCTTCCCAGGCCTGTGAGAACGCGGCCCTAGGAACAGCTTGCCTTGGGGACAAAGGCTTTTTCAAGGCACAGAACCCAGAGCCTGCTCCCCGGCAGGGCTGGCTTAGCCACCCCTGTCACAGTGCCTCATTCTTTCCATTCCTGAAACACCTCATGACTTTTCACATAATGTGCCCTGGTTCATCTTTTATGAGTTCACAATTCCACACCAGAGGTCACCGACAGCAAGTCTTTCAAAGCTCCTACCCACACCCATCTCCATGGGCCGGGAGCTGTGCTGTGAGTGACTTCGGCCAGCTGGGCGGGTCAGCAGTGTCTTTGGGTGACTGGAGGAGGTGGGGGGTTCTACTTCCCGTCCCCATCGTCCCCATCGGCTCCCTATGAGATAGAATGACAGCGAGTCTCATTCCCATTTATACTGACAGGTACCTTGCAGGCAGGCCCAGTGACACCATAAAAGCTGTCCCTCCAAGTTCAGGAGGGACCCATTTGGTCCTCCACCCCATGACAGTTACCTTGCTGTGAAACTGATGGCCAGAGCACCAGCCAGCACCCAGCTGGCCAGAGAGCAGAGTCTCCCAGGAAGCCACAGGCCCCAGGGGAGCTGTCACACTGGGGGGCCCTCTCCTCCCTGCGATGATTCTTTTATTTTCTGTCTTCTTGATGCCCTGGCACCTGAGGCTTTGATCCTGGAGAGCACAGCCCCTCCCAGGGCCAGCTCATTACTCTGTGACGAAACCTTGATACACAAACTGGAGCCCACACCCCCGCGGCGTGCTTCCTGAGAGGCACGCACAGTCCATACCCACTGCTTTAGATCAACCCAGTGGGGTCCACACACCTAGGGCCTCCCTGGGTCCCAGAGCATTCAAACTCTCACTCTGGGCTCCCCTACTGTCCTGACCCTGCCCTGTCCATCCCTCCCAAGACACTCCAGTCCAAGACTCCTGGCCCTCTTCTGCTTCCTGATGGTCCCTGGTCTTGTGTCATGTGGCCTACAAAGGGGCTGCACCTCCTGTTTCCATAAACTTCTTCCTTTACAATGCTCATTTCCTTTGCTGTCTGCCCATCCCAATTAAAACTAATCCCAGCTACCCTTCTGTGTTGTTATGGTTGCCATACTGGAGGTTGAACCCAGGAGTACCCTACCACCAAACCACATCCCCAGCCCTTTTTTATTATCTATTTTGAGACAGGGTCTCACTAAGTTGCTGAGGCTGGCCTCAACTTGCCATCCTCCAGCCTCAGCCTCCCGAGCCCAGGAACATTTTTTAACACAGTCCCTGAAGCAGAGTGCTTCAGAGAGTCAGTTCTGCAGAGCCCATTTTTCAGGGGAATGGAGAAGATGGAGTAACCAGGACAGCCAGCCCCAATGGCAAGGCATTTTTCAGCTCCTGTCCAAGGAGCCCTGAGGACCAGGACTGGCCCTGTGCCAGTGCACGAAGGCCTGGATCCCTGTCCTTGCCCTGCCTGTGAGGCGAACAGCAGCACCTCCCAGTGAGCAGCATAGGGCAGCAGCACCGGGTGTGCCCAAGATCAGACCAAGCAGCCAAGGCCGCCTCTGGCAGGTGGCCCAGTGGGTGGGAAGCTACTCTGCCACCGTGGCTCAGCAGAAGGCCCAGAGCTAGCAGGGCAGCCAGAGGGGCAGAACATCAGGTCATGAGGTCACCTGGAGACACAGAGCCCAGATGAGGAAGGCAACTCCCGGTCATAAAAGGCCCAGGGCCTGCTCTGGAGTGGACCCCAGCACACAGCAGGCCCAGGTGTGTGCTTCTCGCTTACTACCCAGGCTGGGGCTCTGAGAGAGGAGGGCCCACCTCGGGGAGCGGGGGACAGCCACAGAGAGCAGGGGGTGTCAGCAGGTGGTGGGCGGGGAAGGATCAGAGTAGGCCAGACACCAAGGGAGGGTCCCCAAGAAACTCAAACTGACAAAATTCCAGAAAAAATGGGAAATATTGCCACAGACACTACTAATATCCAAAGGATCATCAGAAACTATTTTGGAAATTTATATTCCAATGAGCTAGAAAATCTTGAAGATATTGACAAATTCCTAGAAATCTGACCTACCCAAATTGAACCATAAGGATATTAGAAAACTTAAACAGATCAATAGCAAGTAATGAAATTGAAGCAGCTACCAAAATCCTTCCAACAAAGAAAAACCCAGGACTGGATGAATTCTCAGTCAAGTTCTACCAGACTTTTAAAGAAGAACTACTACCAATCCTCCTCAAATTATTCCATGAAATAGAAAAGAAGGGAATCCTTCCAAACTCATTCTATGAAGCCAGCACCACCCTGATACCAAAACCAAAGACACATCAAGGAAAGAAAACTTCAGACCAATATCCTTGATGAACATAGATGATGCAAAAATTCTTAATATGGCAAACCACAGTCAAAAAAACATTAAAAAGATAGTGCCTCATAATCAAGTGCCCATCACCCCTCCCCTCCTACCCTGCAGAACCCCAGTAGATTATTTTACTGAAACCCACTGCTTACAACTGTGATCCCAGAGATGCAAGTTTGATTCAACCTATGGAAATCAATAAATGTAAATCACCACATCAATAGACTTAAGGACAAGAATCACATGATTATCTCAATAGATACAGAAGAAGCATTTGACAAACTACAGAACCCTGGGCTGGGGATGTAGCTCAGTTGGTAGAGAGCTTGCCTTGCGTGCACAAGGCCCTGGGTTCAATCTCCAACATCATCCAAAAAAAAAAAAAAAAAAAAATTCTAGCACCCATTCATGTTTAAAACACAGGAGAAACTAGGGATAGAAGGAAACTACCTCAACATAGTGAAGACCATATATGACAAACCCAAGGCCAATGTTATTGAATGGAGAAAAACTGAAAGCATTCCTCTAAAAATGGAAACAAGAAAAGGAACTAATACCAATCCTCCTCAAATTATTCCATGAAATAGAAAAGGGAATCCTTCCAAACTCATTCTGTGAAGCCAGTAGATCATCTTCCAGCCCTGATCTTTTTGTCTTACATTTAAGCTTCTTTTATTTTTTTTTTTTTTTGCTAATAACTTTTAAGAGTTTTGTCCCTGTACTCCCCAAGTGAAATAGATCTGTAATTTTCCTATCCCAAAGTCTTTGTCTGGTTTTGATAGCAAAGATATGCTCATCTTGGAGAATGAATAGGAATGACTCTATTATACTTAAGAACTTAAGAAAAAGGTCTGTTCCTTTAAAGCCTGACAATTTGACAAGGCTTGCTTTATAACCATGGCCCTGCGGTTTCTCTGCTTTAACATTCGATGTTCTTTTAATTGGTGGTAAGATCATCCAACAGTTCTCAGTTGTTTCTTGAAGCCAGTGGGCATTTCATCCAAGTTCCCAGAATTGTGGATTTATAACTCTTATCTCTATATCTCTATTTTCATATTTGTGTGCCTTTTCTACTCTGTTTGTGGCTTGCTGATCTATTAGGTGCCCGAGAGCCCATTCCAGGTTGCAGGGCCATCTCTATGGTTCTTCGCTTGGTTTCCGTGTGTCCATTCTCTTTTTTCTGTTGCTCATTTTTAAACTTCTTAAATGGACCCTTAGCTCACTGATTCCATCTGTTTTCTGCAGTATAAATACATATATATATTATTCATCAGCTTTCCGTGGAGGACCACATCCCTGTTCCCCAGTCCTGGATAGAACTTTCTAGCAAGGGGACAGTTCATCCTGTGTGTCCCTAAGAACACCCGTGAGCAGCTGCCTCCCAGCATCTTGCTCTCCAGACCCCCTTCACCACTACAAACCTCGTTTCTTCTTTTTTTTTGGGGGGGAGGGGTGGAGGGTGGGTACCAAGGATTAAACTCAGGGGCACTCGACCACTGAGCCCCATCCCCAGCCCCATTTTGCATTTTATTTAGAGACAGGGTCTCACTGAGTTGCTTAGCACCTCACCTTTGCTGAGGCTGGCTTTGAACTGAGATCCTCCTGCCTCAGCCTCCCAGACTGCTGGGATTACAGGTGTGCGCCACTGCACCCGACATTATTTCTTCTTATCCGCATGCATTGAAGCATTTTATCTTAGGGGAGAAATATGTAAATTTTTTGGCAAAGTAAAATTTTGAGCAGTTTTAAATAAATTTTAAAAACCATAAGTTTTTAAAAACTCCAACTCTAATTAACGTTACCTGTTATTTTATAAATAACCTATAGTGTCTAGTCTCTGGAAAGGACTAAAAGTTCAGGCAAATCATCAAGTAAGGTAGTTTAGTGTCTAGATTAAAATATATATATATATACTTCACACTTCTTAATTCAAGGAATGAAACACTTTTTTAGAGAACTCAGACGTTTTCCCATTCTTTGGATACCGGTAATATTAATCAGCATGGTGGCCAATCTGCAGAGAACCAGCAAGCCCAGCCATTTCCAGGTTCTCAGAAAAATCATCTAAAACACGGTCACCGGTATCATCATTTTGAACACTTTAGAGAAGGAAAGTGAATAGAAGGTCCTGGGGTCCTTGTTTCTGCTTAAGGGCCTGAGCTCTGGTTCATGCCACCTGTCTGGCAGGCGTCCCAGCCTTCAGCACCCCTGTCACAGGAGACAGCAGGCCTCCTGCAGAGCCTCAGAGGTGGCTACCAGGGAGCAAAAGCAAGTCTAGGTGCATTCCTGCTTGCAGTCTGGGTCAAGAGAAACTGCCTATCACCCTCCCCTCCTACCCTGCAGAACCCCAATAGATTATTTTACTGAAACACACAGCTTACTGCTATGACTGTCATATTTAAGGTCCTTGTAACAAGACATGGTGAAGGGCAGTCGTGAAGGTGGCGGCTCTGTGAAGCATCTGCCACACTGAATCTCCCTTAAAAGAGAATAACTCATGCTAGATGTAAGTGGTTAATGACAAGTTGTATTTGAGCCAAGTTTTCCAAAAGCACTATTTTGAAATGAAAATGTGTTCTTCTCTGTATTAACAGCCTGTGTCTTCAGAGATTTCTCTTCAAGGTTTTCTAAATTATCTTCTTTGGAACGTAGAAATCCGAAAGTCCTATCAAGCCATTCTTTCTCGAGTCTCTGGATGGGAAACAGAGGAAGACACCATCAGCACTTTCTCACTACACACAACATAATTTTGATCAAATGCTTTACAATTTAAAACATCTTAAAAACTGGCTACTTAGGGCCTCTCAGCAATCATTTCTACCACCCAAAATCAAGCCTTCTATTTCCTTGTATGATAATGGGCCCTTCTTCCAGGTGCAAAGATGAACGCTACGTGTTGTTCTTTACCCTTGGGCAGTACCCAATGACTGGAGCCCTCTGGCCACAGGAAGGGAGGAGTCAGAGACTGTCCAGGGGCCCAAGCAACCCGCCTCCAGTTGTTTCTTGAGCCAGCGCTCCTGGCTGCCCAGGCCAACCTGGCCCAGCCTGTTTCTTTCTTGCACCTGAGGCCACAGGTTTCAGGACAGTCAAGCCCACACAGCCCATCGTTGCATGCAATGTCCTGCAATGTCCTGCATCTTCCTCCTGGGAGATACTGGGGCTCCAGAACACTTGGAACCAAGCAAGGAGCAGGTAAGTGGATGGATCGGTGAGTCCTGGGATGAACAGATGAGCTGCTGACTAGGCAGAGGAGTGGAGAGGGGTGGTGGGCAGCCTGGCTCCAGCGACCTGCACATTCCAGAGTTTGCTGCTTTGCTATTTCCTCTCATTTGAAGGAGGGAAAGCTCCAGGATCTGCACAAATCCCACTCAGGGCTGTGTCTGGCCAGGCATGGTCTCTTCAGCCCCCAGGTCCATTCACGATTTTTCTTGGGCTTTGGGGGTGGGGGTTTCATGGTGTGGGGTACATGAGGCTCCTGGTAGGAGCCACTTAATGTCCTGCTCATCTTCAGCCCCTACCCCTTGCCAGGTGCTCCCCATCCCAGCCCTGCAGGGCAGGCCACAGTGCATTCTCCCACCTCCTCCCCACCATCACTGCTGCAGTCTGGCTTATCTCCCTGTGCCTGTGGCAGTCGCTGGCCACCTCTGTCCCCTCCACATACCCACACCACTTTCATGGTGCCACTCTCTCCCAAAAGTAATCTGGAGAGATCATCAGATTTCTGGGAACCCCCCAAAAGGGATGCTCCACCGCTTCTGGACCTGGAGAATCACGGAGCATCTCACTGCTCAACAGAGCTCAGATGTGGGAGTAGCCACACCTCAGATGTGGGAGGCCACTTACTGGAAAAAGAAGACACAAGCCCAAGGATAATTTTGAGAAGTGGTCAAAAGCATCTGTGATCCTTCACTCATGTCCAGTACTAACACAGTAAGAACATGCAGTGTAACAGCGCCAAGTAACATGTTCCTCCAAACAGGAACTGTGTGACGACAGTGACGTCTCAGGTGTATGCAGGCAGCCCTAGGTCCTGGCACTCCAGTCCCACAGTGAGGCCAACCTCTGTGCTGCTCTGTGATGAGGTGAATTTGACCCATCTCACTGTCAACGGGCTACAGTTGAAACCACTGGCATACTGTACATTAGAGCCAGGATAAGCTCAGGACAGACCATTTCTGGTGACCGGACACAATTTCTCCTTCTGAAGTCTAATAAAACAGAACCTAAGTCCCACACTGATAAGGCTGTGACCAAGGCTGGATGGCTGGCTGCTTTCACTGATGGCGTCTGGCTTGTAGTTCCACTTAGACACGTCTTGGGCTGTGTATATGTCAAGGGCAGGCTTGGTTGGAATGACTTTCAGAAGACAGAAAAGTGGAGAAATAAAATTCTCCACAGTCAACATACCTGGATCCAACAGTGCTATACTTACACGCTTTCCTTTAAACCCATAAGACAGGATTCCACATCCATCTCCATGATGTCTGGATCCAACCCAGCCAAGTAGCGGTAGACAAAGGAAAAAGTCTCGAATGGGATCCGTGCAGGCCCACCCTCAGGGTCCTGGGTGAGGATCTCGCAGACGTGCTTCATGGCCGTGTTCAGCGACTAAAACACCATGGGGAGGGGATTACTCTGAGTTGCTGAGATGTAAAGCAGATACCAGCCAAAGAAACCCTCAAGCACATTCTTTAGAAATTCTGGAAAGTATGATCTCCCTCTGAATTAAAAGCTAGATATATATGCAACTTCCATGGTGAAAAATAAAAAGGAAATGTTGGGAGCTGGGGCTGGGGCTGGGGCTCAGTGGCAGAGTGCTCTCCTAGCATGCGTGAAGCACTGTGTTCGATCCTCAGCACCACATAAAAATGAAATAGATATTGTGTGTCCACCTACAACTAAAATATAAATATTAAAAAAAAATGTTTGGTCGAGATGCAAGTGACTAGAAAAAGTGTTAATTCACAGATTTTCATCTTATATTGATGAGAACAACTGTCACAGACACTAATGTCTTCAGTGATAAACTTTTTTTGTGCTGTGGTGCCCAGAGGGAAGCCCAGGGCTGTGGGGCAAGTGCTCTGCCACCCAGCCACACCCCCAGCCACAGAGCCACACCCCCAGCCACACCCCAGCCACACCCCAACCACCAGCCACACTCCCAGCCCCTCTGTGATGAACTTTGTATGACAGTACAGAACTATGGTGTCCCATCAGGCCCAGAGACATACTCAGGGTGGTGCCAAGGAACGAAGCAATCTGTTACTGTCCAGAGGTGCTGCCTGTTGCGGGCAGGGCTGACAGGGTGGGCAGCCTGCACGTCCTCAAGGAGGGCCCTGCTGCGCAGGCTCTGTCCTTGCTCACACAGAGGCTCCATGTCTGTGTTGGCTGAGGAGAACCCCAGGCCTTTCTTCTCCCCTATCCTCGATGTATCTCACTCATGGAGTCCCACTGTCTGGTTCCCCGAGACACGGGCCCCATCCTGGCCTGCACCCCATCCTCCTCCTGCCTTCCACCCCCACAAGGCACAGGTCTCCAGAGGACCTGCCTCTCTAGAAGCCCCAGCAGGCCCAGCTGATGGGCCACAGACTTCCTCAGGAGACCAGAGGTTCCCGAGTACGCACCACTGCACCAGGGCTCTCATCTCCGACTCCTTTCAACTAATCCTTGTTGGAAAAAAGTTTTTGTTTTTTTCCTAAAGATGAAAAAAAATCCACAACAATAGAATGCTATCTTTTACTAAACCAAATACATAGCCCTGGTCTTCTTGTTTTCTTTTACATCAGGACAAACACCCTGCAGACTTCAATGCTCTTCCAGATGCACTGAGGAACTGATGTTCCAATCCTGCAGGTGGCCTGGGGGCCAGCACTCCATCTCCACCCTGGGTGGGTTCTCCAGAGCCCTTCCTTGCCAGAGCCACCCCCGCCCCCTGCCTGACTGCTGTGCTGAGGATGAGGATGCTTGAAGGCAAACTCCGAGAGAGGCCGCACCTAACAGCCCTGGCCAACACCAGCACAGAGCTCTCCTCGGTGCACTCCATACTCGCTCTGTGCCCACCGTGGCCCCCAGGGAGGGAGGCTGCCGCCGGACGCCTAACACCTGCTCTCCTGTAGGTCAGAGTGTGGTTTGAGGGCAGAACACCTGGGCCCCAGCTCCCTCAAGAAGGGGATGTGTCTGAGCACAGGCAGGAGGCACTGGGGCGGAGGGTCCAGGAGGGTCCAGCTGAGCAGGGACATTAAGTAAAGCCTCAGAGAGGAAGAGGCCAGCCAGGGGATGCTGCAGAATTCCAGGGAAGCGTGGGTGCTCCGGGAACAGCCTGAGCTCACTTCTGGGCTCACTTCTGAGTAGCTAGAGCAAGTCAGAGGGTAGGTGGATGCCGATCTTGGGAGTTCTTGCAGGGCAAGGGAGCCTTGGCTTCTCCCGTGTACTATGGGAAGGGGTTAAAGAATTGAAACAGAGATGAGCAGTATGGAGAGACCCTCTTAGCTGATGTGTGGAAGCCAGGCACCCAACAAGGAGGCCACTGGGACAATGGAGCAGAGGCCACACTGGGAGCCAGGCAGGACTCTGGGCTAACAGAGCTTGCGCACGGTGGTGTGAGAGGCAGAACCATGAGCAATGACCCCCAAGGTTCTACTAGGCCTGCACAGCTGGAAGGCTGATTCACCAGTGACAGGAGATGGGGAGTCCTGAGCACAAAAAAGGGCCTCACTTCTGGGCAGTGTCAGTTGGCATGTATGTTAGGCATCCCTGTGCAAACACTGGCCAAGGTGGGTATTCAGGCCTGGAGCTCAGCCGGTGGCTCAGGTGGGGTCACCCTATTTGAGAGAGTCTGCCCAAGTGGACAAGGTATCACTTAGAGCCGAAGGAGGGTAGACAGAAAATGGCGTGCAATCCGCCAAGAGCCGGGGAGATGAGAGATCACCAAGGGGGCAGCTGGAGACAGGAGGAGGGGTACGGGAGGTGGGACCAACGGTGAGTAGAGGAAAGTGCTTGAAGGTGGACAGAGTGCTTGGCTGTCCAAGGTCGGGGAGGGAGGAGGGGAGGACTGCATTTCCACCAGAGGGCTTCACAGGAGCACTTGGGAGGAGTGGCAGAGCCAAAGCTGGACACTGGGAGTACAGGTGGCAGTGGTGCACTCCAGGGGCCCCCGAGCCACTGACTCCTCCAGGAGTTCTGTCAGCTAGACACCTCCCGTTGGTAGCTGGAATCGAACTGGGGCCGGGGAATTTACACCACATGGACTGGAAGACATCACAAATCAGGGCTCTCTTGCCCCTAAACAGCAGAATATGAAAACATCACGAGAATGCTAAGGAATATGAAGATGGCATTTGCAGCAAGCCCAGAAATGACTCTTAGCAAAAAAGGGAAAGCAGGAAAAGATGTGCTGCATGAGCACAGAGCACCAGAGGTGGGAGGAGCAGAGACAGTCCCACACGGAAGTTGCAGACGTAGGACAGGTGCAGCCGCAGGTCACACACTGGCCTCAGTATGGACTGTCATGGGGAGTAACCTGCTGTCCTCAGTGCGCACAAGTTTGCAGGACGGAGATGAGGCCCTTGGACAAGGCGGCATGTGGTCACCAGTAACCAGCAGAGATTAGCACCATCCAAGAGCTTGATTCTGGTGCCCTGTCCACTCTTCAGTCCCTGAGAGCAGTGAGGATGTCATTATCCTCAGTTCACAAAGGAATGGTGGAGACCAGAGAGGCTCAGTCATTGTCCAAGGTCACCCAGCCCAAGGCAGAAAGTGGGCCACCTTAGGGTCCACTGCACTGGCTTGGGGGGGTGAGAGGCAGAGACAGAGACACCCCACATTCCTGGATCCAGAACCTGGGCGGAGGAGAGGACCCCTGAGCAGAGCCAATCTCTGGTGCCTTGGCCCTGGCAGGAATGTGACACAAGGGTCCAGAATAGCTATCAGTCAGCCTAGCATGGAAGGGCCAAGTGACACTCATTAGAAAAAAAGGTGTCTTCACTCCGCAGAGAGGCGGACACCTCCACACACACCATTCCCTTAAAAGACTGGCCTCGAGGGAGGAGCTGCTAAAAATAAAGCTGTTTTATAATCCCTGTTCCTGACTTGAAACTTTTCAAAGACGTGCTGGTATGCTGGAATGTGCTTTCATATCCGACACAAACGGAAGCAAGACATCAGGAGAGGGGGACTCGCAGGCTGGCGCTGTGAGTCAGGGGAAGGAAGCAGTTGGCATCATGGAGCAGGCAGATGAGACCTGCCGCCATGAGGCTTCGAGGCTTCGGAAGAGGAGGTATTTAAGGAAAAATACATCAAAACACTCCAGCATCGCAGCTCTGCAAAGGCGTAATGACGCTGCTGGTGCCGACAGTCCTGACAATAAGATATGCAGCAACTTTTATATCCAAAAGGACTCATAAAGCAACTCGCTTGATCTTACTGAGAGTTAAGTTTCTGATAAACACAACTCTCAACTCCAAAGGGCTGTAGGAAGTACAGCCACTTCATCGCCAGCCAAAGGACCCCTCTTAACCTCCCACCATTATTCTTAAGGGCATGAGATATCCTGGGGCCAGGGGGCTGGAAAGGTGCCATTTTTTTTTTTTAAATACTGGGAATTGAACCCAGAGGAGCTTTTACTGCTGAGCCACGTTCCTGTCTCTTTTTAATTTTTTTTTTTAATTTTGAGACAGGGTCTCACTTAGGGCCTCATTAAGCTTGCTGATGCTGGCCTTGAACTTGAGATCCTCCAGCCTTAGCCTCCCCAGCCACTGGGATTATAAGCATGCACCACCCCGCCCAGCTACACTTTAAACCAAGTATTTCTGCCTCATCCATAATCTGAAATTAAAGTGGAGATGTGGGAAAAACCCCAGAGGGAGGTTCCTCACATCTTACGCATTCTCCATGCGCCAATTCTGTCGGATTCCTCACAGCTTCAAGGTCACAGCTGCTCCCATGATAACACACAAAGCCTCTGAAGAACTGTCATCTCACACCTCCAGGGGGTACCTTTGAGCCAGGTTGCAAATAAGAATACGAACCCTTTACAGGAGGGCAGCTGGGGCAGGGTGGAGGCCAGGTGATGGTGTCCTTAGAACCAGAGCTCCATTAAAAGCCCAAGGCTCTTCCCATCCCATTTTATTATCCTCATAGGTTCTCTTTTTTGTTGTTCTGGGGGCTTTGGTGGGAGGCCCAGAATTACGAGTGTTCCACAGGTGGCTGGGCTGTGGTCTCAGCACAACTCATCACCCAAGAAGCTGAAGTGGACACAGTGACAACTCCAGGGAGTGCACGCCCCCCTCCCACGTGGCAGAGCTAGACCCACCAATCCCAGGAACCCAAGGGCAGCTCCTTCCGCTGTGGGGACAGTGTGCTCCACCTACTCATGGCCTGAGGCTCACCCTCATGGTGGGTGGTGGGTTAAGAATTCTGCTGGCCTTTCTTGGGACACTTCAGAATGGTCTTTGTGTCCTTTTGGGAGAAGCCTGAAGGGCAAGTGGCAGGGAACAGTAAGCCAGAATGCAGCTCCATTGCTGGGACAAGTGGCTGTCACCCAGGGCCAGCATATGAGGACAGTGCTCTACACACTCCAGGGTACATGCTGTCAGGCTGGCACCGAACACTCCTGAATAATTTTAGGATATAAAATGATATTACTGTAACCCTAGGGAGTTCTCATTCTCTGAAATAGGAATTCCGAAGCATGAACTCTCCTGAAGTGGCCCTAACCTTCCTGGGTCACTACAGAGTCACTGGCAGGGACCCCTGCACCCCTCACTTCCCAGTTACCTGACCTCAGGTTCTTAGCCCGTCTCCACCACAGCTCACCAGCCTAACATTCAGCAGTCTCTCCTCCAAAGCCGTTGGGAGGATTGGATCCAAAACATACGAAGGGTCCTGCACGTTCTAGCCTGAGCTAAGAACCCTAGAGACCATGCCCACTGTTGTAGGCAATAGTTCAGATGGAACCACATTACACCCACGCCTTCTTCCTATTACAGCCAAAGAGGGATGCTTCTGTGGCTAATAAATAATATTCCTTGTTCATTGTCTGGCTGTTTTTTCATTATAGATTTAGAGAGTGTCTGAAGATAAAAGGCTCAGTTCACAATTTTCTTATGCTTTAAAAAAAGATCCCCAGGCTACAAACAAGACATTTTGATCCACTGCTTTAAGGCTTAGGACCATCTATGGTGCTGCAGGAATGTGAAGATAAAGTCCCAACGTGTAAATGTGATGATGTCACCAGACATGCATATCAGGACCCTGGGAAAGACTCTATCTCACGACAGCCTCAGACAGCAAGTTCACATCCACGTCCACCTGGCTGACTGACTGAGCACCTCTCAATGTCCCTTAACGCGAATTCATAGCTTTCAATAGAATACCTGGAGCTGTGTCCAGGGATCCAAGGGTATCGAAGAACATCAACTGCAAGAGTCTGAGGACACAAGCCCAGAAAGTGCACTCCAGAATCTCCAGCACTTAGAACAGGCCCTGAGTTGGTCAGCTTTTCCTCACTATGATGAAATACCCACAGCTACCCATGAAGAGAAGAGTCTGTTTAGCTCACAGTTGTGGAGGTCCCAAGGCTGAGGTCAGGCTGAGGTGGGGGCATTGGTTCACTTCTGGTGATGACAGCGGCTCAAGGTGGTGGGACTGCCAGTTCATCTCACACAGGAAGCCAGAGGGAGGGGCAGGCTCACTCCTTTTGCCAAAACCGTCAAAGGCTCACTCAAGAATCACATTGATCCCCTTTCAAGGGCCAGCCCAATGACCAAAGACCCCCAACCAGGCCCCGGTGCTTAAAGGTCCTACCCCTCCCAGTACCACCACCCTAGAGTAGAAGCCTTGGTCACACAGACACTCGGGGACACTCAGACCTCATCCAGCAAGGCTGCATACAAACAGTGCTCAGCAAAAACTGAGGAGTGAAGAAACGAAGGAACAAATGAATGATACACACGACTCAGAAATTCAGGCAGAGGTTTCTAGCCTATAGAGAGCTTAAGCTGGGTTAATCTGACGACAGTGATTCCTGAGAGCAGGGTTTAAGGTTCTTTCATTCCTGTCAGCTGTTCTCAGAGCACCTCCAAGCTTTCCCAGCCAACGGGGGCACCCCAGCACCCACAGCACAAGACTGCCCACCGGCTCACATGGCAGGTGTGGGACGGGGAGAGGCCAGTGCGGGCACTCCCGCAGGGGCTCCTGGGGACCAAAGGATCACCTTCACACCTCACCTGGCAGGCGTGGCCATGGCTTTCACAGCCAGGAAGGAGCCCTGGGCCTGAGAGGAAGCAAAGTGAGTGGAAAGTCCTGCTGCCAAAGGTGGCTTAGGTTTGGGGACAGGAGGAAATACACAATGACCACACGTGGGCCTTTTGGTATAAATTGATTCCCTAAGGACAGAGTAAGGCGTTATAGGAAGAAAGCAAAGGAATGCTTGTCATTTTTAATGTTTTTCCTGAGTTCTTAGACAGCAAAGCTCTATCCTTGATGAAATGTCTCCCTCTAGTGTCACCAATACACATGAACAAGGGACCTCACTTGCCGTAACAGACTTGGTTTTGCTTGAAATCAACTGAGTGCTTAATTTTCATGATTCGGGAGGTAGAAATTATGAAGATGAATTCAAAATATGAATTTTTCTACTATTCTCACCATTGTTAAAAATCAAAACTTCACAATTAAGTTAGAGGCAAAAACTGTAAACATTAATTCAAACATCAGATATTAATTCTGTATTATTAAAATCTTGGTTTCACCAAGTTCCAAATGAACAAAAAGACATAAAAATTTCTCCTGGGGTTGTGGCTCAGTGGTAGCGTGCTTGCCTCACACATGTGAGGCACTGGGTTCGATCCTCAGTAGCACATAAAATAAATAAGTAAAATAAAGGTATTGTGTCCATCTACAACTAAAAATATATTTTTTTAAATTTCTTCAATAATGAAATTGTCTTTGTCATTCCCAATAATCCCCCATGGAGATGTCCCCTGGGGACTTCTGAGCCTGTCTTTGCTGCTGGAGGGTGCCAGGCCTACCAAGGTCCAGGCGTTGGCAAAATTAGCCCAGGGCTGATCAGAAACACCCATACCTCAAAACTGTTGCTCAACCTGAAGCCCCCAGGCTCCATCTGACTTCACTGAGGTGACCAGGCTTCTCACTGAGCCAGTGATATAACCAGCGAATTGTGATATATTCACTTCCCAAACAGTTGGCAAAGAAGCAACATGGTTCTGTGGCCTGGCAGACCAATCCCTGCAGCAGTGTCATTTGGGATGAAAAGAAGTTCCAGAAGGTAACCAACAGCATATTTATCTTTTTATAAAGTTAAAACTAATTCAAGAAATATATTAGGTAAAAATGGGAGCTCATAACCCACTTGAATCAAATTGTGAAATATGATATATCAAGAACTATGTAATGTTTTGAACAGCCAACAATAAAAAATTTAAAAAAAAAAAAGAAATATATTATTTAGGATTGGGAATATAGCTCAGTTGGTAGAGTGCTTGCCTGGCATACACAAGGCCCTGGGTTCAATCCCCAGCACAATATTAACAACAACAAAAACAAACATTATTTAGTATATTTTGGGGGCACTTTTATAAAAGTATCTCTTTAAAGGCAAAAGAGCAGGAAGTGTGAGGTCAGGATGGTCATTGCCTTGGGCAGGCAGGCCGGGGCACAGGGCAGGAGGAAGCACAGGTCTTTGGAGCTAGTGTCGGTGTGTCAATGACCCTGCTGAGCAGGTTCCTGGGTGCTTATTAGATGGAGTGATTTCTTTTTAATTAGAATTAAATGGAAGAGGCTTACCCATGGATCAAGGATGAGTGTGGGCTGTGAAGCAGGGATTAGTCATTAATCACTGATGTATCCTGGGCTACAAAGATGGAAGGCAAGCAGTAAAACAACATTGCTCCTCTGTGGCGGGAAGCAGGCCTGTTCTCTTTCCCAGCCGTTCTTACCAAGCTGAGCGTGCTAACTAACTCTCCCTGCTGAAGCCTGACTCCCACACTGCAGCTGAGCAGACTCCATTGTGCACAGGAGGCTCTGCCCACATCCTCAGCACCCAGCCTCCACACCTCTTCCTCACCTCCTGGGTTCACCAACTCCACGTTTCCCAAATCGAGGATCGCCCATGTCTTATTGCTAAGATTGTTAGGGCAAAACTTGAGCATCAGCAAAGTTGCACAGTATCTGTTAGCTTTAATAATGGATTGTAACTCAAGTATAAAATAATTTTATGCCTCTTTCCACAGAAGGGGAGAAGAGACATTATCAGTTTACAAAATGATGTGCTTTAATAAAAAGTCATTGCTGCATTCTCTTCTAAAACCTAAGTACATTTTAAGAGCATCCACGTATTTTATTTACTGTTAATATCATCTAAATCAAGGTGCTCATAAGCATTAAATCTTTTAAATTGAGGTGTTCAAAAGTATTTAACTTAAAAAGAACTATAAGTCTAAAAATATCATAGTTGCCTGAGGAAAAAAAATTTTTCTAAGACAAAGCTACTGAAGTAATGAAGTATTTCCTTTAGTCAACTGAAACCTAAACTTGTTTTTAAGCTAGGCATTTTATTACACAGAATTATTAAGATGCTATTTATGTGTACGTACCCCACCAAGTGAACTGCATCCCAATGCTAAAAATTTTATCCACTCGATTTCCGTTTCACAAGGATCCAGTACTAGGAGAGCTCTCAGTCTCTCCATTGGCAGGCACAGATTTCTCCACTTCTTCTCAAGTTCTGCTAATTCCACATACTTCTTGTGGCGACACTGTTTAAAAACACAATATGACACCATCTATGTAAGTTTGGAAAACCTATAAGATGGTGCAGTCCTGCAAAGACTTAAGACACCAGCCACCGGCCTAGTGCTGAGGAGATGGACTCTCCTGTTTGACAGTAACTGTGTCAGCCCCAGGGAGGGTGCAGGCGCTAGGCTCTATATCTCAAAAGAGAAGAGTATATGGCGTAGTGTTACGACCTCATAAAATGAGCAGATATTGGGTGTGTGAATCTCCACTGTTTGTCTGAAATACTTCACAGTAAAAAAAAAAAAAATTACTGAATAAAAGCATTTGAAAATCCAGTCCCCTAAATACAGTAATAATTAGGAAAAAAATCTGAAAATAAATCACTTCCACTATTTTAAACACACTATGAACACTGACAACTTCTTCAATCTGCTAGTAGAATTTTGCGTAGAAAAATCTGAGCAATGAGGATTTGTTTCCCCAAGGTACACAATTCAGTGGGAATATTTTCCTTAAGATATAGAGTCCGGGGAAGATCCTGTCTTTGGAAACCAGTGGGCCCTGCACAGAAGCATAGTACTTCCCTGTGTATAATGGCAACAAAGCACTTTAAAAATAAAATTTATGGGGCTGGGGGGTGTAGCTCAGTGGTAGTGAGGTTGCCTGGCATGCTCAAGGTCCTGAGTTCCATCCCCAGTGCCATGGAGAAAAAAAAAAAAAGGCTATGCCAGGTGTTGGAGCACACCTACAATCCCAGTTACTCAGGAGGCTGAAGCAAGAGGATCACAAGTCCAGGACCAGCCTCCACAAAAAAGGAAAATCAAATAGAATCTACTCTTAAGTAGCTATTTTGGGTTAAGTCTACCGAATGTATACATTCCTTTGTAGAGGAAACCTTGAAGAAAGGACAGGGAACACATGGTCCAGCCATGGTCCTGATGGGGTTCTGCTCCACGGTTCTGAGAGATGCCGCGGTTGGGAGATACACAAGCCAGCTAGACCCTGCCTACCTGCTTGTGCAGGACTTTCAGCAGTCCCTGGGTCAGGCCTGTGTCTACTTTCTGGGTTGCCACAGGCATCTCGACTCTATCCTTTACAGGAAGTGGATCTCCTCTTGACAGAGCTGAAAAATACCTGGGAAAAACAGACATGTCTGAAGCTTATCAACACACAGGCAGCACCCTATGTCATGTGGTGCCTTAGATGCCCCAGGAAAACCACTGAGGAAAACCAACGGCTAGGGCTTAAGTTCTCCTTCCTCCACTTGGCTTTCTGACTTAAACTTCTCTACATGCCTCGGTTTCTCTGTCTACAAATGGGCACAAGGAGGCCCTGTCTTGTCTGAGTTCTGGAAGCACTGAGTGAGGAAGGCTTAGTGGTCAGCATCAGAAGGAGTTCCCGGGACATACACTATTCTCATCAAGCACATGCTCTGAGCCTCAAATGTGGCCAAAGGAAGTAGAAGATTCCAGACCCTGGACAGACCCGAGTCCAGTGTCATGGTCCAGTCCAGTTCTCCACTTCTGAAAGTTTGGTTTTAGCCTTCCCTTTTCATGGCCTTGCTGCTTTTTAAGGTATTTGATGTTAAACAGCTGTGTATTCCACTCTTGAGTAGGCCCAGACTGTCTTGCCTTGGGTTTCCTGGTAACTGTTCCTGTCTGGGATATTGATAATGCCCCTTACTTACATTGGGCACAAGACAGGCACAGAAACAGTGTAGGGCAGTAAGTTAAGGGACCCACACCTGGACTCTGGTTGGTGTTGGGAGTGGAAATCAGGCAGCGTCTCCTGTGAGCTCACTTTAACACAACAAAGGGACAGCATGGCCAGGCAAGCACACACTAAGCATGCACCAGGCCACAGGTAATGTAAAAGGTACAAGTACCTAGAAACATTCTAAGATATAGCATACGTGCCTGTGGATCAATATATATATATATATATATATATATATATATATATATATATATATATATATATATATAGGGTAGACTAAAAGAAAGGCTTTATCTCAAATCCTCAAATTCGAATTTGCTTCTGTACATGTAAGCCAATTTCTGCTCTGCTTTGTAGTTTTGTTAATGATTTAAGGAAAAGTCAAAATGCGGACAGCCCTGAACCAGACATATATGGAGCCTAGGACCTAAAGAGCCCCGCTGAAGGAGGGTGCCATGCTTTGCTGTCCCAGGGAGATTTTTCACCTATTTCGTGGAATTACTCCCACAATTAATCAGAGCAGTCACCAAGTTCCATACAGCCTCTGCAGCAAGCGTCCTCAAGGGGGACCAATTGTGGAAACAATTTAGGTTGTCAGGGCAAAGTGTGGATGGTAATACTGCCATCTAGTGGGTACAGGCCTGGAGGCTAACATCCTACACTACCTCTGCACCGCCACCACAAACTGCAGGGCTGGGAAAGCCTGCTGGCAACGTACATGCCACCAGTCCCCGGGGGACACCAAGGCAGCTTTTTGTCACTCGGCTAATTCTTCAGTTAGATGTGCATGGTGAAATGATGAGGGACAACTGATTGTCCAGCACAGTAGAGTAGACAGGCTTGGGAGAAAGATGACCCTTGGCCATCTAAAGACCTCCTTTGAAAAGAACCCTTACCTGACACAAGAATGCCTACCGCATGTCCTATGGCAGCATGACTGTGACAGGCATCCTGTTTTCCTTCCTGTCACTGCCTTTGTTCCTGCACTTCTTCCTCTTCCACACCCTCTGCTTTGCTTTAGCCTCAACCTCTGCCTACACAATCCTCCCAAGACCAGGTCACTCTGCTCAACCTTCAGGAGCCTCATTTCACACTTACCAAGTTCTCCACCAATTCCAGTTGTTTATGAACATCTCTCTAACAGGTTTTGTCCTGACAGTGCTAGCACACTTCTGGGTGCCTCGCGTGAGGCACACACATAGCCTGATGAATAATGCCTAGCTCTTCTCCTAAACTCTAAACTCCTTCTTGAATTAGCAGCATGGTGCATTCAGAAAGGTCATGATTAGGCCTTTCAAATTAAAATAAAGCTTAAAATAATTGTCCCTGAAGTGTTGCCAAATATAATTTAGTGTTCCAAGAGGGGGGGGAGAGTGAAATCTTGATTTTTTTTTTTTGTACAGTGTTAATAAATCCTATCTTTTACTTAGGCTTGAAGAATGGTAAAAGCTTGAGGTAATAATGTTTTAGCAAGAAGATTGAGAGGTTCAGAAACAATTGACAGAAGTGTTTCAAAGAATTCAAGAACTGTTAGTATGATTAAATAACTGCTCAAAGATATCTAAGTCTCAATCCCTGGAACCTATGATTGCTACTTTACATGGTAACATGTCTCTGCAGATTGATTAAGGGTTTTAGATGGTGAAACTACCTTGGATTATCAGTATGGGTTCCTAAATATAGTCACAAGTATCCTTAGAAGAAGAAGGTAGAGAAAGAATGAAAATGCTGGTTACAAAGATGAAGAGATCAAGGCCCAAGCTATACAAGGGATACAGTTCTTGAAATTGGAATAGTAAAGAAATGGAATGTGCTGGGAGCCATTAGCCAAGTAGGTATGACAATTTCCTTGCCAGCGTACCCCATGTTGCAGTGACATTGAATGTAGGTGACCTTGCTCAAGGACCAAGGCGGATTAGGGCGTTCCCGGTTTAGGTTCCAGGTTTAAGGTTTAAGATTATTCCTGCTGGGAATAGGGCGTATCCTGCTGCCTGAGTTCCCCTTGAGTTCTCATGGGATTCAGACAGTATATTTTGGAGATAGAAGCCCAGAGGAGGTGAATTTGGGCAGAGAACGTGGATTTGGGCAGAGAACGTGGATTTCCCCAGAACGTGATTGTAGACGGCTGGTGTGAGTTCGGGAATAAAGAGTTGCTGTTTGAATCTACAAGCTGTGTGGTGGCTCGTGATTGTGTGCCCAGCCAGACTGTGGCATTTGGTGGCCCGTGCGTGGAACTTCTGAAGCTTGGAGGTAAGTGAAATTGCTCGCCCCTGAGGAAGAGCGAAAGAATGGGTGACCAATTCAAAAAACAATGTGTTATTATTTTGATTTATCTTGTTTTTGTTTCAAGCTGCCTATCCCTAGAAATTTCTCAGGCAAACTGGAAAAAATGGTTGACTAAAGGTTTGAAGTTTGTCAGCCCTGAGGAAGAGAAAATTGATACAATGATTTTTTATTCCGTTTTTGTTTCATTCAGTTTCGGCTTTGTTTTGTGTTATCTTATTGGGTTGCGTTATCTTTATAGTAGATTAGAAATTAGTAAAAAACAAACTGAAAACATGTTAAGTAAATTGTTAGAGGTTCAGACCATGGAGAAAGACATTTTAGATCAAGCAAAAGAGAAGGTCTCTCGAGCTAGTCAGACAGAGGAAGAAAATTTAAAGGAAAAGGGGTTGTTAGGAAAAAGGCCACAACAGGAGGCTGTTACTAACTCCGTTTTATCACAAGAGGGCGTAATTCAACCAACAGCCCCACCGATGGAGACAGCTGAGTGGCCCTCAAACCCCGTAGTTGATAAATGGGATCCTGAGACAGGACCTCAAAGATTAGCATGCCCTGTACTTGAACAGGCAGGAGGGCAGCGATTTCACCGTGCTTTAGATTTTAAAACAGTGAAGCAGTTAAAGGAGGCTGTAACAACCTATGGCCCCCAAGCTCCCTTCACGGTAAGCATGGTCGAGTCCATTACTAACTCGGACATGACGCCAGCAGATTGGGCTAGCATGTGTAAATCTGTACTAAATGGAGGACAATATTTGTTATGGAAGGTTGCCAATGAGGAATTTTGCACAGAGACAGCTAGGTGAAATGCAGCAGCCGGTTACCCTCAAAGAAATCTAGATATGTTGTTAGGAAAAGGACCTTATGAGGGTCAACGGCAACAAATTGAATATGATCCTGCTATATATGCACAAATTGCTGCAGATGCAGTTAGGGCATGGAAGACTTTACAAGGACATGGAGATTTACAAGGTCAGCTATCTAAGGTAATACAGAGAGCTAATGAACCTTACGCTGACTTTGTAGATAGGCTAATTCAAACAGCTGCCAAAATTTTTGGGGATACAGAACAAGCAATGCCATTAATAAAACAACTGGCTTATGACCAAGCAAATCGTTGCTGCAGAGAGGTTATTAGACCATGGAGACATGAAGATTTAAACACATATATTAAATTATGTAGAGATATTAATGAACAAGGGCAAGTCTTAGCAGCAGTACAACAGACTTTAGATGCCAGGCCAAAAACATGCTATAATTGTGATCAAACAGGACATTTTAAAAGGAGTTGCCCCATAGGAGGAGGGTTTAACAAGGCTAGGTATCAAAGGAATAGAATACCGGGTATTTGCCCACGATGCCGTAGAGGGAAACATTGGGCTAATGAATGCCGTTCTCAAACCACCATAGACGGTACTCCCTTATCAAAAAACGGACAAAGACCAGGTATTTATCCACGATATCATGGAGAAAGGCATCAGGCTCCATTGCCAAAAAATGGACAGGGGGGCCCAATGCCCCGGGGCCCACAACCACAAATCTACGGGGCAGTGGAGGAACCCAGCAACACCATCAGGCTAGTGCCCAGGACACATTGTCCATTAAATCCCTCATCAGACAAACCCGAGGGAGCGCAGGGTTGGACATCTGCGCCTCTGCCAGAGCAGTATTAACTCCAGAGATGGGAGTTCAAATCATTCCCACAGGAGTAAAAGGACCTCTTCCCCAAGGAACAGTAGGCTTATTATTGGGATGTAGTTCATCTACATTAAAAGGACTTATGATAAGTCCTGGGGTAATTGATCCCGATTATGTAGGTGAAATAAAAATTATAGCTAGTTCTCCAAGAGGTATATCAGTAATTTCACCTGGAGATAGAATAGCACAGTTGTTAATAATACCCAGCCTACATAATAAATTTCCTAGTCATAGTGTAGAAAGAGGTTCCAGGGGATTAGGCTCCACAGGTGTAGATTGGGCTATGTTGTCTTTAAATTTAGATTCTCGCCCAATGCTAAAACTAAATATTCAAGGTCATGAGTTTAATGGGCTACTGGACACAGGAGCTGACCTTAGCATCATATCTCGTCAAGAATGGCCAAAACATTGGCCATTACAACAAGCCACTCAAATGCTTC